TGAGGGGGGAGCCGCGGGCAGGAGACAGGCCGCCGGTCAGGCTGCAGCAGCGGCCCGTTTAGGGATCACACAAGGCGTCTTATGATCAAATAAAGCCCGAAATAATTCAAGCCATTTAGAACAAAGCCGGTACCTGACCATCCGAAGCTGCTCCTCGTTCTCCTCTCCTCCGCCAAACGAATAAATTTCACCACAGAAAACGTTAAATCCTCAGAAATCCACCCCCGCCCCGGCTGCATCCTGCCGCAGCGTCGCCAGCTGAGAAACAACATGAGGAGCCGGGGTCACCGTCAGGATCCTGCCGCAGGAGCGTGTCCCTCCGCCGGCCTCTACACCCACCGCGAGCCGGTGCTCCTCCACCGGGTGTCGGTGCTAAAATGGAGACGGTCTCTCAGGGAGTAGAAACAGAACGGAGCCGCTGCTGCTGCCAGGAGGTGGAGGAGGTGATGGAGCTGCTGCTGCACAGAGCCACCGCCAGGGGCACCAACAACACACCTTCACAATAAGAGTCCCCTTGTCAGGGTTCTATTTCGGTTTTTTCCCTTTAGGAGTCATCACAGCACGCATGTTGACATTTGGCACGTGTTTTACGCCGGATGCCCTTCCTGACCCCAACCCGTCAGGGTTCCACTCAGGGGAAGAAGAAGTACTTTGTAAAAATACAAAGGTATTCTCATTAAAATCTACTTAAAGTACCAGCAGTACCAGTACTCGTCCTCCAGAACGGCCCGTGTCCCAGTAACGTCTCTGATACTGGATCATAGTGACTAATTACTGTGTCCATCACTTTAATGCTGCAGCTGGTAAAGGTGGAGCTGATGGTAACTACCTTATATACTTATACTGGGAAGTACTTTCCATCCTGCTGGGTAGCTGGTGGATTTCCTACTGGGATCAATAGAGTCTGATGGTTCTACTGGGTTTGATTCATCTGATTCTGGACCTGAAGGTATCAGGTACATGTAGTGTAGTAAAAAGTACATGGTTTGTCTCTGACATGGAGTGAAGTCACAGGATGAAGGAGCAGGACATGGAAATACTCAGGTAAAGTCCAACTACCTCAGTGTTGGGATTAAATAGAGTAAATGTACCAAGTTCGGTTCCAGTGATGGAGCCTCCTCGTGGCTGCAGCACTGGGCTCAGACCAGCAGAGAGCAGCATCACGTTCAGCACATGCAATGGAACATGGTCACAATAAAGGAAGGAATGTTTCAAATATTCACCGTCTGGATATTTCACATTATGGCTCTGATGGTTTCAAAATGTTTAGAGGACTTTTAATGATTCGATGAATTCCTGCTTTTCACTCATAACGTCTTGGTTTGTAAATTAACTTTTCTCTTAATATTTAAATGTTTTTCTCTGAATCTCAAAACCCCACCATGCTAATGCTCTTGTGTAGAAAAACCTAACTTCTTCACACACACTGGCAAACGTCCCTCTTCACTTCCTGTTGTGTGCGGTTTGCAGTGGCTGCAGGACAGCAGCACAAAGGTCAAGGTCAAAGGTCAAAGTATTTATTTGTCATATGTACAGTTGGGAAACATGTTTCCCTGTACAATGAAATTCTTACTTCAGCGTCCACATGAATGACACAAAATACAAGTGAAATATAAAGTAGATGAGCAATAACACAAATCTAAATGCACAAGACAAGTGCCAACAGATGACTTTAGGTTGTGAACAAACCTGCTGCTGCTCACATCTGGAATCTCAGGAATCTCTCCTCCTCCTGTGTTTTATAGTCGGCAAGCAGAGAACAGTCCTTTGCTGCTCTGGATTGTTGGCAAACAGCCAAACCCATGTTAACCCTGGTTGTTGCTCTTTCTTTGTCCCACTCTCTCTGTGCTAAAGACGCCACCTCTTCACTCTGGCAGCTGCTGGTTCAGACTTGTAGCCTCCCAGAGCTCCTCCATGGCTGTTTGACACGACTACGTATGTGAAAAACCTTGGCTAGAAAGAAAATTGGTCAATGTAGCTTTAACAAAACTTAAGCCTCTTTCAGATGTGCACAGGAAGCCTGAACTCTTCTAGACTTTACCCAGAGGAGCTGTATGTGAGAACGCAAAACTCCGAGTCAGTGGAGTCGCTGATGTATAAGTTATAATCTATTTACTTAGGCTTTGCTTTTATTGTACATCATCCTGCCCGGGGACCAAATGGAGATTGGGCCCCTGGCTAACTTTGACACATTCACATCTTTGATGTTAGTCAGTGTGTATTTGTCCCTGTCAAATAAACTAAATCAGAGCCGTTGAGTGAAGCTGGTACTGGGTTCAGGTTACAGAGTGTCTGGAGTTTCCCGAGTGTTTTTTAGCACAGGAGGACAGAGTGCGGAGGAAGGAGGGATTTTTATTCTGAGTAGTACCAGTGAAAGAGAGGCTTTAGGTTGCGAGAGCGTTACACAATAATGAATCCAGGAATCCTACGCTAAATGGCCGATTATAGAGCCAAACTCTAGGTTGAGTATACTGTGTGACAGTAACAAGCCAAACTGTTAGGAGTAGCGATACACTCTGTTCAGGAGCTGTTGTGTCTCAGCAGCAGCCTGGTATCACTGTGCATGCTCTCAGACTCAGGTACAGTGAGACACAGTGTTGTTCTTTAAGGCAACGAGTGACTGGGAGGACCAGAAAAGAAAAGGAATGTGCAAACAGTCACTGCTGAGAGGAAGTACTGACATTAATCATCAAATACAATGCATTCAACAGACCTAGGTGCCAAATCATCAGTACAAACCAGGTAAAGTATTAGCTGGCCTGTGATGTCACTGTGTGAACCTGTACCTGACTCTTACAGTCGTGTCAGTGGAAGAAAAGAGTGTGGGGATCAAGGCAGAGCAAAGGTAGCACCAGTGTTTCTGTAAATACAGGGAAACAAGAGGGGGTTAGCAACTTTCTTATTATTGTGTGATGAAAGTGCATGGCCCCCGCACCAACAACGCAGCCAAGAGGCTCTTCAGGTGCCAACAAGTGTTGTAATAACACATAACATGTGTTAGAAGTGATACAGGTGAACAAAAAGGCAACCGGACAACAGCAATGCACAGCTGTTCTTTACCTTTCTGTCTGGAGACCACCAGGGCCGGTTCGATTCGCAGCTTCTCCAGTTAACATTTTGAAATAGTGAAAGTGTTTTGGGTGTGCTGCAATGCATAGAATAGCACTACACAAGTTTAAGGCCATTTATAGTTTTATTCATGTTTTCACAGTATCAAAGTACCTTTTGAAACCTGAACCGCCTCTGTTGCTCCTGGGGCAGCACCGCCGCAAACCCACGTCGCACTGCCCAGCTACTAGTGCTGCCTCATCAGGGAACCCGCACACTGGACCCAGGATCTCTGGCACCAGCCTCCCCCTCCCTGGACTACTCCCTGGGCCTGCGGCGCGCTCAGCTATTCAGGTCCCCAAAGTGACTACCAGAAATAGTCCCTACCATACATGCCTGCTGCGTGTTCTTAAACTCTCACTCTCTGTTCTTATTTAGCGAGCTACGCCTCTCATACAACCCCGGGAAACCCAGTGTGCTCAGCTGTCCCGAGATCAGCGTCATCTCCACTGTTTTGAGCGTGTTCAGCTCCAGGTTGTTGCGGCTACACCACAGGACCAGCTGCTCAGCCTCCCATCTGTAGGCTGACTTGTAGGCTTGCATATTTAGCAGATGTTGTATGTAGCTGTGAGGCCCACATCCTTCTCCTGGTGCTGTGGACTTTGTGTGACCACCAGCTGTCATGAAGAACAGCAGCTTTGCAACACAAAACACCACAGATGGACACAGAGTAAAAGTAAACGAGGATCAGCATTAAAATATCACCGGAATCTGATGGTTGGGATGAGCTGGAGAGGCAGGGACACCCTTCCCCCATGCCTCCACAGTAGGATGGCACCGTAAATGTCACAGACATGTTTATCTGTCGGCACAAACCACAGCTGAAGTGAAACCAGTCTGCAACACTGCCAAAACACAACGTGATGATTGTCAGATCAAATCCAGACTGTTTCAGAGGAATGTGAACACTGCCTGTTGGTTTCAGGAGCTAATTATTTACTCCCAGTGCTGAGGTGGCTGTTCTTTAGTAATTCAGTCAAATAGAACAACCAACAGTAAATGGTTCCAGTCGCTGCACCGACTGTTGTTCAAGAAGTGTGACAATGTAAACGTGTGTAGACTCCTTCTGTGATGAGAGTAGGTCTTTTATTTTGAAATTGGTTAACAGCCATGTTGGAGGACAAAGACACACACACACACACACACACACACGAAGTGGGATAAAAACCCACCAGGATGTGACTTGATTCTCTTCTTCAGGAGTTTTATCTATGGCACCCTGACCAGAGGACGACCAGTCCCCCTGAGCATCGTCCTCAGTGCCACCATCTTCTGCTCACTCAACGGCTTTATGCAAGGACACCACCTGCTGCATTGTGGCCGGTTTGAGGACAGTTGGCTGGTGGACGCTCGCCTGGCTACAGGTGGGTCATCACAGCCTCCACCAGTTCACCTTCAGAGTTTTCTTTCGGTGACCAGCTCAGAGTTCATCAGAGCTAGAGGAGATTCCTGCAGAATGAAACCCGAGGACAGGTTTATCAGTCTGAAATCAGGAGTTTGATCAGAATCAGAATCACATTTATTTGGCCAAGTATGTTTAAACCCACAAGGGATTTGTTTCTGGTACAATGTGCTCGTAGGTCAGCAAGAGAAATATTCTGATGTGCAGATCCATGACTGCATGCTTGTTAGTGAAATGCACCATGGGAGTTGTAGTTGAGCATAAAGAAACTAGAAGGTCCTCACACCCATATCAAGAAGAAGTCTTCTTTTGTTGTAGCTTTGCCTCTGGATGCGATTTTTGTTGTCAGGTTCTAAAGTGTCAGTAGGAAAATAACATTTGAAACAGATTTGTCTTTAACAAACTCTGTAGCTGCATCGATTAATCATTAAACCTGCAGCTAAAAGCAGCAACACCAGTTCTGTGCCGTTGCCTGTGGTTTATGTTTCAGCAGGCAGATGCTACACTTTGCTAGAGTCTCAGTGTCATGCACAAAAGCACATCCTTCAGTTTTCAGTTAGCTTCTTTCAAATGTGAACCGTTCCTCTGGCTCCTTCATGTAATAGAGTCCAGATCCAAAAGGTGTTCCATTTGAAAACTATCTGTGTTGAGCAAACACCATCTTTTCATTTCTCCAGTGTCATGACACTAAAGACTCCAGACCTGCTGTGTCTGTCTGTGGTCCTGGTTCGGCCTCCTGACCTGAGGCGTGCAGGACATGGCTCAGTGTGTGTGACTCACAGGGCACATGGGACGTTCAGGGGGGCTGATAAAGCACTTGTGCTGCAGTAAAACCATGCCAACACAAGAACCAGACATAGTAGCAGAAGTGGGACAGACTTTCAAACCTCAGACTGTGTCATCATTTTCACTGACCTGATGCATCCTTTAAGTTACATTTCTCCAAAATCTGTGGACAGTCAGTGGCCACTTTATTAGGTACACCTGTAAAACCCACTTCAAACAGCTCGGCCTTCATTGCTAGCTTTACAAAGTCTAAGTTTTCATGATCAGAAATTCAGTTCTGTGGCTGTTCCTGCGCTCATAGTAGAAGGTGCTGCTGAACTGGGAGCTGCTCTGCGACAGTGGTGTGGTGGGTAGGGCAGTTGTCTCCCAACCGGAAGGATGAAGGTTCGAATCTGGGTGCCTGCAGTCTGCATGTCAAAGTGTCCTTGGCAAGACGTTGAACCCCCCAAGTTGCCCATGATCGCATATGCATGCAGCAGCCCGGGGCCCTTGTCTCCAAACTAAATTTTGTTGTACATGATGCAATAAAATAAAGCTTCAGTGGGGCGACTGAAGTGGGTAACGCAGTCGTCTCCCAGCTAGAGGTTCGAATCAGAGTGTCTGCAGTCCACATGTCAGTGTCCTTGGGCGAGACACTGAACCCCAAAGTTGCCCCCGATGCCGTAACACTGGGACTGGGACTGGGACCTTGTGTTTTAGGCTGCACACACCTGACAGCTTTTCAAAAGCCTGAACATAAGAGCCAAACCCTGCAACTAAATACTTTGTGTACACACACACACTCCTTGCCCACACAAGCTGGGACCGGTGCGTCCTGGAGGCACATGTCTCTGTGCACACAAAGGTGTTTCTGGTTGGGCAGGACACAGTCTTCACATAACAGGCTATGGTGTTGACGTGTTTCTAAGAGTAAACCGGCCTGTTTGCATGTAATCGGGTCATGGGGGTTGCATTTTCCTTTTTTGTTAGTTACTTGAGCGTAACGTTCAACCCACTCAGCACGGTGAGTCCTTTTTCCCCTCCCCCTCCATATAAACGTGTGCTCACCGTGTTCAGGCTTCAGTCTCCAAGTGGAGCTGTGCAGTAACGGGTTGATGGAGTGTTGGGACGCCACCCTGTGCTATATGAGCTGGGCTATGATCGCCGCGGGTGTGGCCCACCTGTGGCTGCAGAACCACATCCAGAAAAAGTACGGCCGCTACATACAGGCGGGGTTTCGCTGCTGTCCAGCCAAAATGGGCTGGTCCATCCAGGAGCTCCCATCCTTCCTGGTGCCAATGCTGCTGCTGCTGCTCACTGAGGACCCGGACGCCGGGTCGGGGAGCAGTGGGCTCAGGAGAGGGAGGACGCTGCTGCTCTGCACCTTCACGCTGCACTACTTCCACAGGTCAGAGGTCACCAGAGATACATGCACACGATGAATTCATAGTGAAGTTTGATTAAAAAAAGTCAGGCCCTGTCTGTGTCACCAGGAGTGAGAGAGACGAGCAGGGGTTTGACCAGTCAGAGAGGACTTTACTCATTCTAAAGGGAAACAATCCTGTTGCAGCAAATCACAGAACAACAATGCAACAAATACAATTAAGGCTTAGAGTGAGGAACAGAAGTATTTGAACAGAAATAAGTAAACAGTTGGATATTTTTAGATAAACCTTTTTCTGATGTAACTATCTAAAAACATTTTATCAGTTTAATCTTGGCCTTGTCTCAACCCTGTAAACTGTTACACAACCTCACACACTCACTAAGACTTAGGCAATCACACTCACCGGGAATTGGGTAACCAAACACTGAGAACTGTGTGCCTTAACCATTACCACTTAAAAGTGCAAACTCATAGGAATGTCAAAAACATCAAACTTGACTCAATAACCACAGAGTATTAAACCTTTTCAGGAATTTTATATAGAAGCTTAACAGAGCTACAGCAAAGCAACAAGCAATAAAATATAAACCTTAAAATAATCAATAATTGTCTTGATTTTCTTACAGTCTAAATAAATCAACAAATGCTATCTCTAAACATCACTCTAAAATATTGTACTGGTTAAAATTATTATGGTTGAGCTAAGCTCTTGATCTGAACAACAAAGATTTTTCTCATGCAATCTGGCTCTCAGCTGGCTCTGGGTAGGGCGGTGGCAGATTGGGCAATCGTTTGTTCCAGGTCAGGACACACATTCAACGTGCTGCTCATTTCTTACAAACTGCAGCATATGTTTATAGAAATGTTTTAACCCACCTGTTATGTTGCGGGTCAAATTGACCCACGAACATAACTGCTTTAAATGAGTAATATTTGATATGAAGAAATGAACATAACAGGAGGGAACCCTCCTGTTATGTTCATTTCTCAGGTGATGCCTGCTCAGCAGTTATGTTCGTGGGTCAAATTGACCCGCAACATAACAGGAGGGTTAAGGGGTTACAAAACATTGCCCTATTCAACATTCTATAGTGTTTGGGAATTATATGTAATTGGAAGCTATTTGCCATTTGATATTGGTTTTTTCTGTTTCTGACATTATATATTGACAGTATTTGAAAGGTAATATCCAAAGCTGAATTTAGGTATTGGACTTGCTGAACCTTAAAGGTATTTACATTAAGTGAAATTTACATTTGAATAAGTGTTAAAGGGTGATGCAGAGATTTCATTCATTATGCATATTTCCTGTTTATAAGGTGGACTAATTTAAGGCAGTAACTCAAAATGTCACAGCCAAGTGAATCCATAATTCAGGTTAGGGATAGTCTAAGGGTGCTTTCACACCTTAATTCGTATGCTTTGGTCCGAATCAGTTGACGAGTTTGTAAACATGTAGCAATGTCTCCTTGGTTCGGTTTCATTTCACACACAGAAAAATCTGAGCACACCAAAACACGCCACGTAAAACGACGCGAGAACGTTCTCTCCGCTTATTGGTCAGATGTGTCTGCCGTGAGAACAGAAAAAGTAAATAAAGGAAGAAAGTCCACGTTTCTGTGACGAGAGAGGATGGAGGTCAACATATGCGGGTTGGGCCTCGCCCTAGTTATTTTGTATTACATTACTTGCATTTACCACTTAAACCAAGTCATACAGTTTGCCCACGATTCATCCTGGCGCATGTTTTGGGTGACATAAAATAAAATACCAATAAGCCAATGCCCTCAAATCATGTGATTCACGGCCTTTGGTCTGTTTTGGTTCGGTACGAATTCTCACCAGGAGGACCGCACCCGAGGTCGCTAGATGATTCAGATCGAGACCACGTCATTTTTGGGGTCTTGGTGCGGTTGTTTTGGTGCGCACTCGAGTGTGATTACCATGTTCACACCAGACAAAACGAACCGCACCAAGAGGGAAAACGAACTTTAGTTCAATTCAATCGAACTAAATGCTGTAGGTGTGAAAGCACCCTAAATCTTCAAGATCAACCTGAAGAAGGTCAAGTGAGTGGTGCTGAAGACCACCAGGAAGTGGAGCATCCAAGGCGAAGTCAAAGAGTCAGAACTCTAACTGAGAAGGGCAGAGAATTGCAAGCTGAAAAAACTAAAAGGCTTCAGTAAAGGTTTGACTATGTTTATAACAAATGGAGAACACAAGTCATCTAAACAGCCCTTATCACAATCAACGGAGCCTTTATCTACTGATCTGCTTAATGATATCATTGGTGATGTCAAAACCTTGTCTACAGATGTTCAGCATATTTATGAAGAACTGCACAAGTTCTCAAGTCCAGATCAGGACGTGCATTGTAGAGTAGACCTGTGTGTAGAGATTTCTGCTTTCATTGTACGCAGAGCCTCAAATCAATTAGATGGAAAGATCCTAGCAAGGGAAGAGCAAGATTGGCCTGAGGCAGGGGCTCTATTCAACTCAAGTACTTCCAAATCAGATTCTGTCACCTCTATCTTAAAGGGTACCTCAGAGCATTCAAGTGGGTCATCTTCAAGATGACAAGAAGCTGCTGCTGATGCCGCTGCAAGCCAAGCTGTTCTAAAGGTGCTACAAGAGCAAGAAAGAGAACAGTTGGAAATACAGTGTCTACAAGCAGAAGTTAAAAGAAAGGTAGCTGATCAAGAGGCAGCAGTTGTAAAGCATCTCTTACAGCAGGAAGCTGAAGAGGTGAACCGAAGAATAAAGAGAGAAGAAGAGGAAGTCAAATTTAAAGCACAACTAGAAGAGGAGCATCTGGCTCTACAAAGAACTCTGGATGAGAAACGAAGAAGGATACAGCATTTGGAGGAAGTAAAGAGCCTTAACGCAGCACGAGCGAGAATTCTGGTGTATGATCAAGCAACTGCCATAGAAGAGCAGTGAGACACATTAGATCATGAAATGTTAACAAATCCCCAAGTGCAAGCTCCCGTGAGTCCTCCATTGCTGCATGTGTCTACCTCACAAGCTGTAGCCACCTCCGTGAGTGAAAGCACAGCAGAGCTTGTTAAAGTATTAACAGGTGCCTTAAGTGCCAACCAAATTCCAGTTCCTGAACCTTCAGTATTCAGTGGAGATTCATTGAAATACAATGCCTGGAAGCTTTCCTTTGAAACACTGATTAATCAGAAGAACATTCAAGACAAGGAGAAAATATACTACCTCCTTAGATACGTGGGTGGACAAGCTAAGAAAGCACTCGATGGCTATTTTCTACTTGGAACAGAATCTGCCTATGATGCGGCTTGGGAGATCTTGGAGGAGCGATATGGAAAGTGCTCTACATTAGCAAAGGCTTACAAGGACAAGCTCCAAGCATGGCCCAAGATAGGATCTAAAGACAGCTTTGATCTCAGAGAGTTTGTTGACTTTCTACACAGTTGCGAGGCTGCCATGATCCACATTACGGCTTTAGAAATCTTGAACGACTGTAATGAGAACAAGAAAATTCTTTAAAAGTTACCAGATTGGTTAACGGCAAGATGGAACTGGTAGGTTGTGGAAGAAGACAGTCACCAGTTCCCTTCTTTCAGCCAATTTGTCAGGTTTCTCTGGCTGCAGCATTTTGGATTAACTAGAGGCTTTTTAGGGAATTATTGGGACATCCTGATAGTAAAGAGTTACAGTAGTCCAGCCTGGAAGTAACAAATGCATGGACCAGTTTTTCAGCATCACTTTGAGACAGGATGCTCCTGATTTTTGCAATATTGCTGCAGTCTAAATGGGAATCTCGGTGGCTTCGCTGCGTCAGCTCCAACAATGCATCATTAATTCTAATCCAGTAAAAAGTGCCATTCTACATAATCACTACTGTAAGCATATTTTGATGCAGATACTTTTGTACTCTTACTTTTGAATGTGGGACTTTTACTTGTAATAGAGAATTTTTACACTGTGGTATTTCTACTTTTGCTGCAGTAACTGGTCAGAGTAGCTACTCTGCTGGACATGGAGTATTTAAACATTCTTGTATTAGTGTTTTATTAGTACTTTTACTGCAGTAAAGCAGTACTCCTTCCAGCATGGCCTGTTGCCATGGTTAATCATAGTACTGATGATGTTTGAACCTGGACCTGGACTTCCTCTCAGGTTTACCCCAGCCGGCTATTTGAACCCAGTAGTTCATGTACGTATACTGCTGCGGACACGCGCACTAGAGCGTGTGCACGCTTCATGAAGCTGTGAACGCAGACAGCACACGGGCTAGCCGTCAGCTTCGGGATTGAACCCGCTATTT